CAGGGGGATGGCTGTGCTGCAGTCCCTTCTCCTCCATTCTCCTCTTGGGATCTTGGGCATGCATGTACATGCGCCTGGCGTAAGTTTACTTAATGTGGAATTAATTAAACATAAATCAGAATGGAGGGACCAGCAGATGATGTAATGGTTACATCGCTGGACTCCCACGTAGTCTACCGCAGTTCAAGCACTGAACCCAGTGGCTTAAAACACACTGGTGCATGTGTGTGCATGCCCAAAATCCCTAGAAGAGAATGGAAGAGACGGGATTGTAGAGTGGCCATCCCCGCCCCGTGGGGGTGATTTCTCCCTCTCTGTCTCCCTCTTTCTCCCTCTCTCTCCAGTGAGTGCTCTACCCTATAGCAAAAATATCTCTCTCAGAAAAATCACAATGGAAACAAAAGAATAACTACATATAGTAGGACATAATGGGTTTTTTTTAGAGAGAGATTTTTGCTGTAGGGCACGTGTGCTCCCCAGAGAGACAGAAAGTGAGAGATCACCCCTCGGGATGATGGCCATGCTGCTCCTTTCCCTTCTCCTCCATTCTCCTTGGGATCTTGGGCGTGCATGCATATGTGCCTGGTGTGAGTTTGAAGCCACCAGGTCTAAGACTCAAACCTGGGTTGACTAAGTGGGAGTCCAGCAACTTAATCATTATGCCATCTGCTGGTCCCAAGATGTAGGGATTTTTAAAACCATAATTTCTTTTGCAAATATTTTGTTTCATATGTATTTGGTACCTATATTTTTTTTTTTTTTTTTTTTATCATTGCCAGCTAAGCAACAGGTAACTAATGTATAAATTAAATTGACAGAGGTTTTATACTTATGAGCAACTACTTAATGGGTAATAAAGAAATTGAATTTTAACTCCTCTTTCACTTTAGTACACTAAATAAAGAAATGATTATGTGTGCCATTTTCAATAGTAATACTTACAGATTGAAAGTTCCATAATATTTGAAATTTGCTTGTGATATTTTGAGGGCCCTTGAAGTCCATGTTTTCACTAGGAATGACAAGTAGACTGGAAGCAAATCTTAAGATTTGGTGGTGTGACGTGGCAAGATGTAAGTACAGTCAGCATAGGATATTTAAGAGGAATACTGCACTTAAAATGTACTTGAAAGGTTTCTGAAACCTTAAGATCATGTCATGATCTTAAGCTGAAACCTTAAGATCATGTCATGATCTTGGAATTTTGTGCCCATATATCAAACATGGTTCAAGGAGTACATCTAAACTACAGTTTTTCTAATAGAGCTGAAAAGAACGCTAATCAAAATCACTTACTTGAAAAACTATTCAGAAGAGTTCCTAAAAGTGAAGAGCAGATCTTTTGGTAGCTTTCATGAAACAGTTTTCAGTGGTGAATTCAGGCTCATCGTCTTGAGACTCCATTATAGCATTTGAGAAACAGGACAGTTAATAGTCACATAAACTCAGATACAGCAGAATTCGTATAGCAAGTTTCTGGTATGAAAGGATAAAGACTCTATATGCATATTACTCTTAATATTCCTAAAACTTAAGTTTTTACTGAAGTGCTTTTTGTCCCTAAAATTACACCAAAGATAGTGTAAACTTCTATTTAATATACTCTTTGTTATTCTTTGTAGGTTGTTCATTTAGAAGAAAGCAACACTAATGATCTACGCAACTTGCTAAATTTGTTGTTTTCTCACAGAAAGCCTTATCATAAGTTCAGTAATTCTAGTTAATCTGCCAAGATAATGTAATTATGTTTGATTTTGTAAGGTATACAACAATGATATCCTATTTTGGTGTCAGTTTTTCAATAAAGTTTTGATTATGACTAAATTCTCTCCCCGTTTTTGAATGTGTGAGTGTGCTCTACGTTTATACTGTACAAGTGGATTTGGTTTAAATATTTAAAAATATGTTGATTTGTCTTTGTCTCATTTCAAGTGTAAAAACTCTTAATATTTGAATTTTAAAAATTCAGTTTATTATCATTTTTAATCTGACCAGAGAGAAAGAGGGAAAGTGAGAAAGCATGCTACATGGTCAGGCCTCAAAGTATAGTTGGCCATCTGGGAGTCTAGCACCTTAACCACTATGCCACATGCAAGCTCCTTAATATTTGATTTTTAGTCCATTTCCAAGTTGCTGTAAATTGAACTAGATGATTACAAATGTAAATAAGTCCATTACTTGTTAATTTTAAATATAGTCTTATTTAATTTTATTATTATTTTATTTGCTGTAGGGCATGTTTACTCACCACAGGGAAAGTGAGAGAGTGAGAAAGCAAGCTACCAGGTCTGGGACTCAGATCACAATTGGCCATGTGAGAGTCCAGCAACTTAATCACCATGCCACCTGCTGGCCCCTTAAATATAGTTTTGTTATAATATCTATGGAGACATTTATATAGGTATATATTTATATATTTGCCAGAGGGCTTATGCACTCATTAGAGAGAGGGGGAGAGACAGTACTCTCCAGTGAGGCATGGTCATGCTACATTTCCTTGTCCATCTCTTTTCAGGATTTAGGACATGCACACACAGGATGCGGATTCTGGGATTCAAACTGTGTGGTCAAGCCATGTTGATTCCAGCTATGGGACTGACCTGATCCTTATTTCTTCTTAGTTGATTTTTTTTTTTTTTTGAGAAGTTTTTGCTATAGGGCATGTGTGCTCGCCAGAGAGAGAGACAGAGAGACAGAAAGCGAGAAATCACCCCCCAGGGGGGATGGTCACACCGCAATCCCTTCTCCTCTATTCTCCTCTCAGGATCTTGGGCACGCATGCACACGCGCCTGGCATGAGTTCTAAGCCACCGGGTCCGGGACGCGAACCACCGTTGACTACATGTGAGTCCAGTGACATAGCCATTATGCTAACTGCTGGTTCCCTTCTACATTGATTTTTATATAGTAATTTTTAAGTTGTAGCCATGGCCTGAGTCCCCAACTTCACAAAGATGTGACATCAATTAAAACGGAAATACCTGGAGCAAGTAGTTTATACATGGTGTCCAAAAAAAGTCAAGTATGAACTTTTTATCCAAGGTGCCCAAGGCACCTCAACAACTCATGAGTTTAGGAACCTTTGTGATAAGGGAAGCCAGTGGGAATGATGGCCTTTGATAAAGGAGTTATACCTGTTGTAACTCATCTAAAGGACAGATTCCTGAAAATTCCCTTGGAAAAGTATTAAAATAAACTGTACTTTAAATAATGTAGTTGAAGTGTTAATTAAATCATAGATACTTGGCATTAGAAACTGGTGAAGTAAGTTTTACTTAATTACTAGACAGTGTTTAACTGGGTTTGAAAAATGGACACTAGGACTTGGCCAAACTAAAGGGTCAGCCATGTACATTATTTACTGAATGTTTTTAATATTCTTTATACTGATTGCATTTCTTTATATAAATTATTTTAAAAATAAACCTTCCATAAATAGGATAAGCAGTTACATAAAGGTGGCTAAAAATAAAGTGGAATTCTAATCTCTGAGCAGGTCAGGTAGCACATGATTTTGTATCTGGTTGCCCCTGAAAATCATGATAAAGTTCTAATTCTTTTTCCTTTTTATGATATAATTCAGATCTCATAAAATTCAACCTTTTACAATGTAAAACTCAGTAGATTTTAACATAGTCATAAAGTTGTGCAGTCATCACAAGTATTTTATCCCAGACCATTTTATCATTCCAAAAAGAAACTCCATATCCACTAGCATTCACCTCCATTTTTGTGTCTTCCTAGCTCTTGGCAAACACTAATCTATTGTACTTTTTGTCTCCATGGATTTAACTCTTCTGGCTATTTTGTGTATCTATTTTTAATTTGACCAGAGAGGATACAGAGAGAGACAGAGAATGTGAGGAAGTAAGCCACCAGGTCTGGGACTCGAACTGTGGTTGGCCATGTGGTAGTCCAGTGCCCCCAGCCACCATGCTACCTGCTGACCCCAGCATAATGTTTTCAATGGCCATAATGCTATAGTATGTAGCAGTAAATTTTTTTTTTTAATTGCTAGAGAGTACATGTACTTACCAGAAGCAGTTGGGGTAGTAGTGGAGGAGTATTGCCCACTGAGTCTTGGTCATAACTGAATCCTTTTTCTTCCATTTCTCAGGATATTTGGTACACATGCACACATGGCCTGGTGTGTTCTCCAAGCATGTGGGGTTGGCGCTGGGGCTGGAACAGTAGTCAGCTCCAAATGCACAGCACTAAACCACTGTGCTACTGGGGAGATCCTAATTCCTTTTTATGACCGAATGATACTCTGCTGTAAAAATATACATTATGGGTGTTGGCACATGGTGTGTTGGTTAAGGGCAGTGGATTCCCACATGGCTGACGTGATTGGAGTCCTGGACCTGGCACCTTGCTTTCTCACTTCCCGTCTCTTCCTCTTTATTCCTCTCTGGTCAAATTAAAATTAATGAATTAATTAAATAAATAAAGCTAAATTTAAAAAATACATTATGTTTATTCTCTATACAAGTCCCGTACGTATGTATTTACAATTATTTTCTTTTATTCTATGGGTTGTCTTTTCACTTTTTGTCTTTTGAAACTCAAATTTAGAAAATTTTTATGAAGTCAGTTTATGTTTTTCCTTTGATGCTTTTGTTTTTTGTGTCCTAAGAAACCATTGCCTAGGGGACCAACCGGCAGGTGATGTGATGGTTAAGGGCGCTGGACTCCCACATGGTCGACCATGGTTCAAGTCCTGTACCTGGCAGCTTTCTCTCCCTCTCTCACTCTGTCCCTCTCTGGTCAAATATAAATAAATAAATTAAAAGAAAAGAAAACGAAAAAAGAAACCATTGCCTAATCCATAGGTCATGAAAATTCATTCCTATGTTTTCTCTTTCTTTTTTTTTTAGAGGTTTTTGCCTTAGGGTATGTACACTCGCTGGAGAGAGAAAAACAGAGACAATGAGAGAACAGGTGAGAAATCACCCACCAGGGAGATGGCCACACAGCAGTCCCTTCTCCATTTTTCTCCCAGACGAGCAAACGCATGCGCCCAGTTTGAGTTTCAAGCCACTGGGTCTGGGACTCAAACTGCGATTGGCCATGTGGGGTCCAGCAATGTAACTGCTACACCATCTACTGGCCCCAATTCCTATGTTTTCTTAAATTTACCAAAGGGCACGTGCACTTACAGGTGATTTCTCTCTTTCTCTCCCTGTCTTGTCTCTGGTAAGCACATAAGCCCTATAGTAAACTAAACTTAAACTAAATTAAAAGGCATGCCTGCACATGCGCCCAGTTTGAGTTTCAAGCCACTGGGTCTGGGACTCAAACTGCGATTGGCCATGTGGGGTCCAGCAATGTAACTGCTACACCATCTACTGGCCCCAATTCCTATGTTTTCTTAAATTTACCAAAGGGCACGTGCACTTACAGGTGATTTCTCTCTTTCTCTCCCTGTCTTTGGTAAGTACATAAGCCCTATAGTAAACTAAACTTAAACTAAACTAAAAAAAAAAAAACCTCATATGATCATATCAATTGATGCAGAAAAATATTTGATAAAATACGACATCACATCAGGATTAAGACACAAAAAAATAGAAGGTACTTTTTTATTTTTAAGAATTATTTTATTTATTAATATTTCTTAATTTGACCAGAGAGAGAGAGACGGAAAATGAGAAAGCAGGCCACCAGGTCCAGGACTCGAACTGTGGTGGGCTATGTGGGAGTCCAGCACCCTTAACCACCAAGCCACCTGTTCGCCCCAGTAAAATAATTCTTAAAGAAAAAATAAAAATGATCCCTTTCTTGTACACCAACAATAAATGGACTGAGGCAGAATTAAAACATTTACAACAGACACACACACTCAGGATTTAGCAATAAATCTAAAGAGATAAAGGACCTCTACAATGGAAACTGAAAAACTAAAGGAAAATTAAAACTGATACCAACAATGGAATTAGATAATAATTATCTAATTCCATTATTCTAATTCCAATAATGGGATTACCTTCTATTTTTTTTGTGTCTTAATCATGAATTATGTTGCATTTTATCAAAAATACCTTCTATTTTTTTGTGTCTTAATCCTGAATTATGTTGCATTTTATCAAAATTTTTTTTCTGCATCAATTGATGTGATCATATGTGGGTTTTTTGTTTTTTGGTTTTTTTTTTAGTTTAGTTTACTATAGGGCTTATGTGCTTACCAGAAACAGACAGGGAGAGAGAGAAAGTGAGAAATCACCTGTAAGTGCACATGCCCTTTGGTAAATTTAAGAAAACATAGAAATTGGGGCCAGTAGATGGTGTAGCAGTTACACTGTTGGACTCTCACATGGCCAATCACAGTTTGAGTCCCAGACCCAGTGGCTTGAAACTCACACTAATAATAGAATTAGTTCTTGAATGAGAAAAATCAATAAAATATTGATACTACCAAGGTTAATTTTAAAATTCAATGTAAATTTTTATCAAATTAACAGTGACATTCTTCACAGAAAAAGGAAGGCAATCAAAATTTAGAATCAGAAAAGACCTCACATCAAGGCAATACTTTGCAAAAAGAATAAAGTTGGAGATATCTCATTACACAATTTCAATGTATATTACAAAGTTGTAATAAGCAAAATGTCACAATACTGGCACAAAAACAGACACATACTCCATAGAACTAAATAGAGAATCCAGAAATAAATTTAAAAATGAACAACTGATTTTTGACAAAGGACACAAGATAATCCAGTAGAGAAAACAGTTTTTTCCGACAAAAAATGTGCTAAGAAAACTAGATATCCATCTGTAGAAAATGAAACTACACCCTTATTTCTCACTGTTCATAAAAACTA